GCGGCCGCCCGCGGGCGCGGCCCGGGGGCAACCGGGTGACGGTGGTGCTCGGCGCGCAGTGGGGCGACGAGGGCAAGGGGAAGGTGGTGGACCTGCTAGCGCAGGACGCCGACATCGTGTGCCGCTGCCAGGTGAGGGCGGGCGCGGCCGGAGCCCGGCTCGCCGGCCGCAGGACCGGGACCTCCAGGGCCTCCTGCCTGAGCGGCGGCGGCGGGGCAAGTGGCGGGAGATCGGAGCCCCCTGACCGGGGGTCTCGGGCTGGGCGGCCCTGGGGCAGCGTGCGGGGGCGGGGGCTTCGGGGGTGCACGTGCCCGGGCCGGGCCGGGTGTCGGTCTGGGCTCGGACTCGGCCCTGGGCGGGGGCCGCGGGGGAAAGGGATGCGGTCCGGGTGGGAGGTGCTGCCCCCTGCGCGGCTCCGAGCCCGCATCACCCCCACCCGGAGACCGAGGGGCAGCGCACTGCCCCGGCTCGCCCTGCAGTCCACACCCGCCGCCCCTGCAGGCCCGAGTTCGCAGGGCTGTGCCCGCCCCCGGCCCACTTTGTTGACACGAGAGCCCGCCTCCGGGCCCTGCGCCGCTCACTGGCCCCGGGGCTTCTCTCCGCACCCCTGTATTGATATTAAGGAGGAGTTAGTTTTCCTTGTTGGTCCCGGAGGAGGGAATCCCAGCCCTTTGAGAGTGAGGCAGGTAGATCCGTGGACGTCGTGTCTGGTGTTTAGAAGTATTCGCATTGTTAGGCTCACGGTCAGAGGGAACTTGCGGGAAATAGAGCGGTAATGCACTTCCTCCCGGGAGACACGTGGTTTTCACTGTAAGTTTTCCTCCTATTGGTCGTTTGCTTTGAAGCAGCCCAGAGGTTAGGCCTTTGTGAAGGCTTACCAACTTCAAAATGCGACGTAGTTGAGCAATAACCGCTTTCAAAACAGACTGTAATGTGGTGTTTGAAGGTAACTGCTGTGTCTTCGGGTGGTGAGAGTATTTTGTCTTTATTGCATGGACGTGGCGCAACATGATGATGCCATGCTGGGTGTGTTCTAACAGGGGAGTAGGCCCACTTGATTGGAAGCTTTTTGCCTAAAATTGAGAACCATTTGAGCATGCAGACACGGTAATCACAGGTACATAAAAAGCTGAATGCAAATATTCTGGCTTATCTTGTTTTTAGCATGCAGAAGGCTGCCCCCTTCCCTTCCTTGGCTGAGATGGCTGTCGTACCCAGTGCCCCACCACCCCCCCTGCCTCCCAGCCTTCTATTCCTTCACGCCTCTGGCAACACACATACCTTCCTTAATAACACTCTTGGAGGTGCTGCCCATGACTCCTGCCCTACACTGCCTTCGGAGCTGCTCCAGAAGCCCAGTCTTCACCTTCCCGTTGTCTTAAATTCAGATCTGGCCATGCTGTGGGGAAAGAAGTGTGAGAAGACCTATCTCTTGCTGGGTAGAAGGGGAGAGAGGCCGAGGCTTGTTTGTCTCCTTCACTGTCATTCCTGACATCTTCCTTCCCTGGAAATAGTAGTACTCAAGTTGAGCTACATTATGGGTTGGAAAAGGTTTTGGAAAGGTAACCATTATGGCATTTATTGTAAAAGATCCTCAATTGTAATATCCCTTTGAAAAATAGTAGAGTTAGTTTGTAGATTGAAGAAGGTGTTACTGTGAAAGTAGTCTTGAAGGAGGTCGTGGACCAATCTGATCTGATGCCCTTGCAAAGTCTGGAGAGACGTGATTGAGAGGGAGCCAGGTTTGCCTTTAAAATATTTGCTGAAGATAGAGGAGAAATGTATGAGCAGACTTGTTAGGCAGACTTTCCTCACGTATAAATTTGTGACTTACTACCTTCCTTACATAATTCTAAAATCTTTATATTTTTCTAGTGCCTTTTAACAGCTCATCATTAGGATTCTTCTTAGTCTTGTTAGTGAAAGTGGATAAGTATGAATAGATTTAAGCACAACTCTTGTGATTCATCTTGGCAACTTTATATTATTTGGTCAGTCCTAGTAAGCTGATATCTACTTAATGAAGTTCTCCTAGCTTATAAAATTGAATATGGAATGTTGAGATTCTTAATGAGTGTGTCTAGAGAGCTGAGAAAAGTCAACATTAGGAAAGACATTTTGAGTTTGAATTGCCTTGTTTGATGATTCAAGTTTTGTGTATTATTGAAAATGTGTACTTTATTAGAGTTTAATGTATATTTTTATATCATACATATGACATATATATCTGTCATATTCATGCCATAAACTCAAATTTTATATAGATTATTTCTCCAGAACTGGTATATACATAATGTGTTCATATTTCAACAATGGAATCATAAAATAGGGAATTTCTTCCAATATAAAATACAGTTTGTAAAAGAAAAACTGACATTGCATTTAACTTTACATTTTAATACATAAAATGCCTTTTTGGAAAGAACAGATGCAAAGCTAGTGGCATTTTCATCATCAGAGCACTTAGGGCCTGGATTTCAGATGCAGGATTTTGAGGAATTATTTATAGCTCGACGGATACTCTAGACCCGTAAATAGGCGTGCAGGACTTTCATTCAAAGGACAGCCACTACTGATGCCTCAGTTTTAAATCGGTATGTCTTCTAAGAAAGAGAAGAATTAAGTATAGGACCAACTCCAGGCGCACTTCATTCATCCAGCACTCACATAGTGAGTATCTACATGGGGCTGCTTAGCTCCAGAGTCCAGAAGCTGAAAAGGGCAGAGACTGCCTACAAGGAGCTCAGAGTCCGGTGGACAGCTGTCACATCAGCAAGCATGGCCAGGGTCAGGGTGGAGAAGGGCACTCAGTACAGGTTTTTCAAAGGGTTAAAGGATGGGAATTGGAAGGCCCCTTTCTGGCAGCACAAAAGTAGTTCTGTTAGGGAGTCTCTTAATGTTTTTTCCCTCAAATTCTCTCAAAGTAAACTCCTATACTTTGTTTCCCTTATTTAGTTGAGTAGAAACTAGAGATTTTACTATTGCATTTTTATACCAGGCCTTAAGCAAGGGCTTGTTTCTTGTTGGAGAAAGCAAGCTTGGTAGTCCTGGTTACAACGACAGGCATGAGTCTCCCTGTGATCAGGAATAGTTGGAACAGTATTTCCTCTCTTTGTGTTTACTTTCCAGGGTTTTACAGTTAATACAAAGAGAAAATATTAAGTAAAATTAATTATAAAGGGAAAGTATATCCTGTCACTTGCTGTATGTAAAAGCTTGCCATAAAAGTAAACACAATGAAAAAAATGTTAATTTGTAGCCAGATGCTGGTATCTGCTGAAAGCTCTGAAACCTGCTATTAGTAAGAGATAGAGAAGTGTAAAAGACATACCGACAGTAAACTGAGACTTTCTCCTTGAAATAATCAGAAAAGTTGCAAGATAATTTGAAAAGGAACAACTTCAGTGTTATTTAAAGCCCTGACCTTATACAGCTAAAATTATCTCCCAAACTACTTCCCATAATTTTGAAGATGGTAGAGAATTAGCGTTTAAGGTAAAACATTCTTCCAGGTTTATAACAATTGCTATTTCTATGTCTCCTGACTATCAGGGTTGCTTTTTATATAGTTTATAGTATTTCCCAAATATATAAGTATATACCAATGTGTGATATACTTGGTCAAATCTTGCTTTCTTGGATTACTGTCCTTTCCCTGTTAGAATATAAGTTTTCTCCAAAAGAGGACTTGTTCCTTTTTTGTTTTCTTCCATGGCACTGAGTGCTATGTGAGGTAGAGAAGAAGTAAATACTCAACAGATATTTACTGATGGGTGACTGGATCACCCCTAGAAATTTCTTTTTTCCAAAACCCCAGGAGATAGTTGTATGTCATAGTTGCACATCCTTCTAGTTGCTGCGTATAGGACGCAGCTTCAGGATGGCCGGAGAAGTGGTGCCTTGGTGCGCGCCCGGGATCCGAACCCAGGCTGCCAGTAGCAGAGCGCGTGCACTTAACCGCTAAGCCACGGGGCTGGCCCTAGAAATTTCTTTAAAATCAGTAGTTTAAGCCTTTCCTGTAAATTATTTTAACATCTCCCTGGACAGGTTAATTGACCATTGGGATGAGTTTAAGGTGGAATCCCCAGCATTCCTTGGATTAACATTTATTACTTAGTATCTTAACTAGTATTTTTTACATTGTACTGTTATGTTCAAAGGCTTTAATAGTTTATATGAAAGTCTTATGTCTTGTATCAATGAAAAAATAAATAACTGATATTTGTATCTTTTTTGTATGTTTTCTTAGCATATTTCAGTTGAATTAGCATATTTCAGTTGAATGCCGTGTAATTGTAGTAAATAGTTTGTCTCTGCTAGGGGCAAGATCTCAAAAGTTTGGTTAATGAGGATGTTGCGTGTTCACTATTTAACTAAGCCAGTTGTATTAGTGTACATAATATACCATCATCTCTACTTTTGAGTCGTAAATTTTTAAGTTATGTGAGATCATCTCAGTGTCTGATCAACATTCTGTTTCTTTAATTTTGGTGGGAATGGGTGGATTAGTTGGATAGTTTCAAGTATCCCTAGGAGAAACTGTTGCCTGGTACAAATCTAGATTGAACTGGTCATATACGTAATAGCTTGCTTACTGTAACTGGATACAAATCTAGCTATATTATCTTTTGGGGACTGTGTCAGATTTTGACACCCAAGATTAGTGCAGATGAGCTACATACCAATACGTGAAGATTGGTGACTATTAGAATGCTTTATCAGTGGAAAAAGGGACGTTGAGGTATTCAGTATTGCCTGGTGTGAGCAATTGAAAAGAACAGTAAATAGAGGACAGTTCCCATGGCTACTCTGTCTCCAAGATGGGATGGGTCTTTACATTGAATCAACTTTAATTATATTAATTCAATATAATAAAATTCTTTAAAAAACAGGAGGTTCTGTGAATTTTTTTCTTTCTTTTTTTTTTTTTTGCTGAGGAAGACTGGCCCTGAGCGACCATCCGTGCCGATCTTCCTCCACTTCATGTGGGAGGCCGCCACAGCGTGGCCTGACAAGTGGTACATCGGTATGCACCCAGGATCCCAGCCCAGGCCGCCAGCAGTGGAGTGCAAGCACTTAACCGCTGTGCCACGCCGGCCCCCATGAAATTTTTAAAAATGGGATTTTTGTA